CTAAACATGTTTTGCAGGTTATTTTGTGACAGGCTGGACCTATCGTCTAAAAGAAGGATCCTATCTATGGAAACTGTATGCCTCTCCCCCTTCATAATCCTCAAAGCTTGCAACAACTAAGAGGTAAGAAAATACTGTCATTCCCATTTTACAGGTGGGGAACCGAGGCACACAGAAAATAAGTTACTTAGCTACAGGAAGTCTGTGAGGAACAATGAACGGAACCCTAGGAACAATCATCCTTCCTCTCTCAATTACAGATTCTGTGGCACTCCAGCATAGGAAACTGCACATACTGCATCAGTTTCATTTTAATAAAAATTGTGGATTTTTGATTAAACCAAAATGGACACTGTTGTGGGATGTGTTAAGAGTCTGTGAGCAAAATAACTATCATGTATTGCCATGCTAAAAATGAAAAAGGTTAGGTGGGTTCACAATGATGCTTCACGTTACAACACAGAACTGTGCTGTGGTAAGTTGTCAAGGGGAAACCTAGAGAGGTTTTTTTGCCACTGGCAGCAAGACGGATGCAAAAGATGCTCTAGATTTATAGAAGAAACCCATTAGAGGTCAATCTTCCCGCTAAAACGGTCACAATGTCATTCTTCCCAGTGGGTTATATATGCTGCTCAGTTTTTGTTTCAGGCTCTGCATAGACTCAAGAAGAGTTCATCTGCTCAATTTAACTCTTATTTTTCACTTCCCGATCATATACAATATTAAAACAAAAAATCCCACCACCAAGAAAAAACTGTGAAAACTTGGATTTGACAGAATAACTCTGCAGCAAGAGGTAAATTCTGCTGCAAATTCAAAGTCTGATGAGTCCAGAATATACTGAATCTTGATTAACTGGTATGTCTTAATTGATTGTTTAAATCAAGTAAGTTAGTCTGGATACAGTTTATTAGTGGAGGCAAACAGAATAATCTCAAATATTTGGAAAGACAGTGCGTTCCCCAACGGACAGAATGGATGGCCAGCCTTACTCAGATTGCATCTCTCTAGAGCACGATTTATAATATATAGGACAGGAAAAAATTATTTGCAAACATATGGAAAACATTTATGGATTCTAGCAAGCGTCTGGAATAAAGTTATACCATTACATATTGTTAAGACTCCTAAATGAAGGTTTTTAGCTTTAAAACAAGCATTTTAGTTTGTTTTTTTCCCGTACAATCTTTGCCTTTTAATAATAGTTTCAAGCCAGTCACTTTTGTTGCTCATAGTTTTTTGTGGGTCTTTTTTTTTTTTTTTTTTTTTTTTTTTTTTTGGTT